CGGGAACGTTGGAAGCTCTCTCTGACGTGTCTGCCTCCGCGACCCGAAAGGAGAAGCGGCGATGGAAGATAGAAGATGACTCGAATTGTAACCAGTCATGTGATGAACAGGTTAAACTAAAGTGCAGGAATTCCTCGATCCATGCCTAATGATGTAGCAGGCAGAAAACAGCTCCACATTCAGGATCAAACAGCGGTCTCTAGCCTGCAACGCTTCAATGGCATTACTCTTCGTTCCGTTGTTGAGAAGTGTTATATTAACCAACGAAATAATAAATTTGGATGTTTGCAAAACTGTTCCCCGAGGATTAAGTACAGATCAACTATTATTTAAGAAAATATAACAGCTGAACAAACAGACACGAGGAACCGTCTAAAACTGAACCACCTTGGTCACCGGTTTTCTGCCATTGTTGATGATCCTCCGTTCCTGAAAACAACATGGTACACTGCTTAATACTGCACTCAGATTAGCCATCATCCGTTAGAGTTTTTCTGGATAAGCGTTTTATAAATGTGATCATGCATGTTCCAATTCAACGACCTTAGTGCAACTTCTTAACAAATTAACTTGTTCAGCCAATCATTTTATGATTTCGCTCGAGTTTAACACATAAATTGTTTTTGCAAGTAGAATACCTCTAACTGAGATGTTTGTTGCATTCCCGGCTTCGCAACACTTTTGCTCTAAAACGCTGTCGAAGGAAATACCTTTCTCCGATAGCACATCCTCCGATATTTTGTTCGTCATTATTGCATGCAGGTCTCATAGACAGTGTCGGCCCTGCTTCGATTCCAATGCGAGAAGCTCGTGTGTTGGAGAAGATGGTTCATATTCATCAATTATCTGAAAGGGCGCTTTCAATCTTTTCACCGTGCAACCTCTCTATCTTAATTTCCACATTCACTGGTGTTACATGTGTTCGAAATAGAATAGAGTCTTTGCTTTGTGAGCCTGTCGTTTAACCCCCACTATGCATTAAAGCTAAGACTACTATGTCCATGTCAACAGCCGCTGTTGCCACTTCATTTATCCTTGATTGCTTTCTGTACTGATCAAAATTCATTATTCATAACAATACCTTTGCAAAGAGCTCGATTTATGTTACTGGATTCTTTTATCTAAGTTGTCTGATTGTTGCGAATATTCCCTTAGCTGTACTTCAAGGTGATTCTGCATCTTAGGACACTCTAACAGGAATTTCAATGAGGAGGAGCAAGAGTAATATCCATAAAGATTCTGCCATTGGCAAAAGCGGACTGCTTTCTTCTGATGAAAGCAGTTTGACTAAAACGTTCCAGTTATAACTTCTTTTCTATCTACTTAATTTGCATTGGACTATTGAACAAGAACATTTATTGACAAAGTATGTATAGAATTAACGTGTTTTAGAAGTCGAAAGCCTTAAAGTTCAGAAACTTTGACTCGAAACTGAAGCCTAGGTATTTTCGAAGTCTTTTATACAGAGTAGATTTCCTCACGTTTAATTGAAAGCTGGTGGTTTGTAGTTCTACCAATGCCAATCCAGCCATGAACTGTTCCAGTGCTTTAGCAAAAAAATGGTTCGCAATATTTTATGGATAGGAACAGTGAAACTAGGTTACATGAAATTTATTAACGCTAGATGTTCATTTCTAAGCAGCGATTAAATGGGTCAAGGTGGATTCCATCTTTTTAGCACATGGATCAGGAAGTATAATCGTATGTCATACGTACTCCGATATCACCGCATCAGAGCAGTGCTGTGTCCTCTTTGTTTGAAAGCGAAGTGTTCGTTTTTCGCAACTGATGTACTACCGCTAATTGGTGTGATATAATGCTTTAATCAAATAGATTAATAATTATTAGACAAATCTAGCGTCGCAAGTTGTATAAGGACCCGGTAAAACTAAATTACAGAGCGACAGTATCAA